CTTTCCTCAACCCACCCTGCCGGTAATATAGCCAAGGCGCCATGTTTTCTGGGGTTAACAGTGGAGAGAGACAGAGAGAAACTAAAACCCTGCACCAGCTGAAACTGCCTGGAGCCAAGTGTGGGAGGGCTGTGGGGAGCTCTCTCTTCTTTCTCTTGGTGCAGCAGCTTCTGTTTTCCCTCTCGTTGCAAACTGGCTGTTTCCCATCCATGTGAGAGACAGCAGCTGTCAGTCACCCTCCAAAGCCTACATCTCCTTTATTCAAGAGAGCAGCCGAATGGAACTGAAATCTCCCAGGGCCAAGTGTAAATTCCTCAGGGGAGCGGGGCTCACTCCTGACCCACCCAAGTGGGCCAGGGATTGGAGAGGAGAAGGGCTGGGTGGTGTAAACATGGTGCTTCCAGCTGAACCGTATAGTCAAAGCCATGGTTTTTCCAGCAGCCATGTATGGATTGTTAGAGTTGGACCAGAAAGAAGGCTGAGCGCCAAAGAATTGATGCTTTCAAATTGTGGTGCTAGAGGAGGCTCTTGAGAGTCCCTTGGACAGCAAGGAGATCAAACCAGTCAATTCTAAAGGAAATTAATCCAGAATATTCCTTGGAAGGGCTGATGTTGAAGCTCCAATACTTTGGCCACCTGATGAAAAGAGCTGACTCACTGGAAAAGACCCTGACGCTGGGGAAGTTTGAGGGCAGGAGGAGAAGGGGGCGACAAAGGATGAGATGGTTGGATGGTATCATTGACTCAATGGACATGAGTTTGAGCAAGCTCTTGGGAGATAGCGAAGGACAGGAAAGCCTGGTGTTTATGGGGTCACAAAGAGTCACACACGACTTACCGATGACCACTACCACCACCACCCAGTAGCTAAACCTTTGAGGTTTCTCCAGAAGGTTCTGAGAAACATAAGGAAATTGTCAGACAGAGTGATTTACTACTGCCAAGGACTTATCTCTCAGAGACCCGGCGTGTTTCACCCTATGCTGCTCACAAAATAATAGACCTCAAGGCCTCAAATACAGAGGATTTTACTATGGTATCAGGAGACCGAGAGAGAACAGAGTATGTGTCTGCTTGAGAAACAAGTGCTCCCTGATTTGGCTTGTAACTGATGGGTTAACCTCTGTTAATGTAATGCCATGCTTTCCTTAATTTTAATTGTCTCAATAAATTTGAGAGACGCTAACTCCCTCCATGAATGAGTCTTCGTACCTAATTGAGATGGTCCACTTAAGTGCCAATCATGATTTAAGGAATGCAGTGAGAAATAAATAGTTCATAAAGAAATTGTCTTCTTCTGGGATTTTCAGAACATGCCGAGGCCACAGTTTACCGAGGCTCAAACCAAGCCAGTATCTGGTGCTCTGTGATAATTTCATTACCTAATTTACGTGTAAAGGTAAACACAACAGTAGGTATGGATGAGATCTCATTATTTGGGTCTAGCACTCTGTCCCTTCCTTTCTGGGCTTCAGTTTTCCTGGATGTACAATGACTGAGTTGGACTAGGTACTTTTCAAAGTCTGCATTCATAGTGTCAGGGTTTATGACTTCCAGGACATGCTGATTTTTCAAGGACACGGGCCAAGACGAGAGAGATTAACATGGCATCTTACGATGGTGACTGTAGGCTCACGTGGAGAGCTTCCTTATTTTTGTCCCACCTCTCAGCTTCTTGGTCCTTGAGGCAGAATATGTACCAGCAGAGAACAGTGGTTAACAGTGGTTTAAAAACCTTTTTTTTTTTCTTTTAAATTTGTGCCATTCAGCCTATGGGATCTTAGTTCCCTGATCAGGAATTGAACCCATGCCCTCTGCAGTGGAAGCAAGCAGTCCCAACCACTGGATCGCCAGGGAAATCCCAATTTTCTTTCCTTAGCACATTCTGAGATAAGATAAGCATCTTTGAAAACTCAGCATCTACACTTCTTGACTTCTTTCTACAATATCCTATTGAAATTGCCTTTGGCAAAGTGTCATTGGTGGCTGCCTAACTGCCAAGTCTAGATGATGCTTTTCCTTTCTTAGCTGACCCTGGAGTGTTTGACCCACTGACTGCCTTGAAATATCCTCCTATTTCTCCTACTTCAGCATCCGTGATGCTGTGCTTTCCTGGCTTCCTTCAGCCCCTCGGATGTTCTATAAGAGATCTCCTTGTTGGCCTGGTTCTTCACTGAACCGGGAAGTGCTGGGGTTTGCTGGGGCTCAGGCCCAGACCACTTCTTTGAGCTCTGATGCCTTGGCATCCACCACCATCGCCTTTCTCCAGGTGTCTCCCAGCTTCTGGCTGCAGCTGGACTTTTCTGTTGACCACAAGGTCCTCATTCTCAACGTGTGAGCTCATCACCTTCTCTCTCCCACACCCACCCTCCTCCTCCCACATTCCCTCTCTGCAGAAGTCGCCAGGATTCACCCTGATACTCACACCAGAAACCAGGGAGCCATCCTCAGCTCCTTCCCCCTGCCCCCACCCTGTCCTGTATATTCAAGCAGCCACCAAGCCCCAGAGCTCCTAGACTACCCGGACTCTGTCCCTTCTCTGCCTGCTGCTCCCGGGACAAGCTCTGTATTAAGCCCCTGCTCAGGAGTTATCTCACCCCATCGCCCATGGGCCCTGGGAGGCAGGTATGCTTGGAAAACTTGAGCTGACATCTGTGTGGCTCCAGAACACAAACCCTTAGCCACTGATTTGAATCTGTGGTAAGAACGTAATTTTTTTTCTTTTACTGTTACTTGAGCATTAACAATAAAATACTACAAATGATTACTAATTAGTCAGAAAACCAACAGCAAACTCACACTCTATTCACATTCATCAGAGAAAATAAAAGCCAGAAACACTTTTCATGTGGTAGTGCTGGGACAGTCTGGGACCTGGGATCCTTTGCTTCAGTGCTTGCACCTGGACACACCTCTCCTGGAGCAACAAGATACAAAGAAACTATTTGGGACTAAAAATAACTGCGTGCATGTGCAGCTGGGACAAATTCTGGACAAAAGAGACCAAAAAAAAAAAAAAAGGAAATCCAAACCCAACTGCCACCTTTGAAGAGCCTGGAGCAAAAAGCAGGATACTGAACATATCCACTGCACACATCACCTCCTAAGGGGCTGGCAAAACGCCTAAGCCACCCCTCCAGCCCAACCCCTGGGCATGCCCCTACCCTCACCCCACATAAGGAATAAGTTTGCTGTCCCCTCCACATTTGGAAGCGAGCTTGTCTGTCTTCGCTCCCCCTGTTGCAGCAGAGACCCCAATAAAGCCTTGCCAGAATTTCTTGTTTGGCCTCTGGGGTCAATTTCTATTGATTGCTGTGTATGCGTGCTCAGTCGTATCGAACTCCTTGTGACTCCATGGACTGTGACCTGCTAGGCTCCTCTGTCGATAGGATTTCCCAGGCAAGAAAACTGGCGTGGGTTGCCATTTCCTTCTCCAGGGGTCAAACCCACGTCTCTTTGCACCTACTCCTGCATTGGCAGGCGGGTTCTTTACCAGCTGAGCCACTGGGGATTGGTTGGGGAAGGTCAAGAACCCTGGTCTTGTTAGGTCAGTTAGGTAACTGTGCGCCAGGAAGGCCGGCTGGAAAAGCTTCTCTCTTTACTTCTCTCCCTCCTTCCCAGACTGACAATCTTGAGACTAAGTTTCCTGGGATCTGAATACCTGCCTAGCGCCCTCTAGCTGAAACCAGCTCGCCCTTGCTTGAGGAAGGCAAGGGCACCTGGGACTTGTTTTTGCTGCCTAGTGCCACAGCACAAATCCCAATAGAGCCTTGCTTGAATTTCTCATCTGATCTTCATCAATTTGCATTGACTAAAGAGCCCAAGGACCCGAGTTGGTAAGACTATGAGCCCAGAAAGCAGCCACCTGGCTCACCCACTTCTCAACCAGTAACTTGCTGAGAGCAGAAGGGCCCCTTGGATCCCAGCCTTCCTCTTTATTTGGTTGCTGACACAGGTCCTTGGACTCTTTAACTGATGGAAATCAATAAGGATTATTCAGGCAAGGCTTTGCCGGGTTCTGACTTGAACCGCAGCAGCAGGGAGTGAAAACGAGCCCCAGTGTCCTTGCTCCTCCCCGACGGGGGCTTGCAGGAGCTAGTTCCTTAACTGGGCTAACCGCAGGGGCAGGTCTGTGGGCTGGGTCAGAGGGGTGACTCAGGGGGTCTGCCCAGGCCACTGGGCGGTGCCCCTGTGCAAGGATCATGTTCAGTACCCTGCTTTTTGTTCCCAGCACCTCAGAAATGGCGGTTGGTCTGTGGCCTTTTTGTGCATGCAGTTAGTTTTAGCCCCTCATAGTTTCTTTGTATTCTGTTGCTTGGGGAGATGCTCGTCCAGGTGCAAGCATTCCACTAGAGGGTCCCAGGTCCTAGCCTGTCAGCTGATCTGTTTCAACTGAGCTCGGGCTTAGTTGCCCCTCAGCATGTGGGACTCTTAGTTCCTTGACCAGGGATTGAACCCTTGTCTCCTGCATTGGAAGGCAGATTCTTAACCACTGAACCACCTGGAGGAAGGCGGGGGCGGGAGGAAGAGGCCCAGAGAGATGCCCACAGGTGTCAGTAAGTCTTAAGGGGACTCCTCACCCAGGGCCGCGCCTCTCTCCTCTCCTCTCAGTTCCGTATGACCTGAACATGCATCCCGTGGACCAACCAGGGACCTCAGTCAGCAATCACCGTCTCATTTCCCAGGGAAAAGGAATCTTGAGAGCCAGGAGAAATATTCACCTTCTCCTAAGTAAGATGGGCATGGTCTGAACAGGGGAGCCAGCCTAGCTCCTGAACTGAAATAAATCTGATCTAAGATGCCTCGGACCCTTCCCCCAGGCCTGAAGTCCTGTGATGGTATAAGGAGAGCCTAAGTCACAGAATTTAACCCTTGAACAACCACAGCACCGCCACCCGCAGCAGAACCAGATCTCAGGCCCTGAGCAGGCCCGGAACCCAGCCGAGAGTTTCGGGTGGGCTGCGTGGAAGTTCTGCCAAACTGGAAGGAGAGTTCTGTGCTCCTGTTTCAGGACATGGTTTAATGAGAAACAGCATAATGAGAATCCCCCATTCAGCAGACAGCCTCGGGATGGGAGCCCCCCGCCCACTTCCTGTGCTCATCCCCGTCCCAAGGCGGGATGGACTTTCTCATGGGCATACACAGCACCTCGTCGATGTAGATGGTGTTCTCCTTGATCTGGATCTCCTCCTGCAGGGCCAGCTGCCTGCAGTTCAGGCCCTTCAGCTCTACTTGAGCTTGGGCTAGTGTTTCCTTCAATCTAGGAGGAGAGGAAGAATGTGAGGGAACAAGGTATGGCTCCATGTCACTGCTTCAGGCGCTGGACTCAAACTGATGTGTCTTCTTCCTCTCTCCTCTTTAAGACAGAAATTTCCAATCGGTGGTCCTGGACCAGATTCACAAGGCAGACAAACCAGTGAACTTCCGACATTTAAAACTAGAATTTACCTAAACATCTGGATTTGGACTTTAGAAAAACGTCAACATGGGGTCCGTGCCCTGCATGGCAGCAGTTGGTTGGAGTAGGTTCCTCTAGAAAGGAACCCCTAAACATGATAGATGCAAAGGGCAAAGGTCCTTATGCCCAGATGGCTTCACCCATGATGACACTGCCTAGCCCTGCTCACAGTCCAGGTTTTTTTTTTTAGTGTCTTCCTTGCTAAGCGTAGGCTCTAGAATGCTCAGGCTCAGCAGTTGCGCTGCATGGGCTTAGCTGCCCTGTAGCATGTGGGATCTCAGCTCCCTGAGCAGGGATCAAACCCTTGTCCCCTGCACTGGAAGGCAGATTCTTAGCCATTGGACCACCAGGGAAGTCCCCACAGTCCAGGTTTGAATGGAGCCCCAGCAGCCCTTTGCCTGAGTGGTTAAGCCGCTTCAGTCGTGTCTGACTCTCTGCGACCCTATGGACTGTAGTCTGTTAGGCCCCTCTGTCCATGGGATTCTCCAGGCAAGAATACTGGATTGGGTTGCCGTGCCCTCCTCTAGGAGCTCTTTGCTTACCTTGCAACATTGTGGGTGATCTCACCGACCTCCTTGATCAGCCTGTACTGTGCAACATCTCGACACAGCTCCACGTTAGGCCGGTGTGTCCTGGTCTCCAGGCGCGTGTGAGCCACCTTGGCAGGCCCTTCTTGGTCGAGGATGGCTTTTTCAAGAACCATAATGTTTTTCTCCTGGGAGGCAATCTCTTCCATGACCTTCCAAAAAGGGTTAGAGCAGGTGAGGCCAGGCTGTGTTCCTTAAAACTCGACAGCAGACACTCTTAGTGGCTTAGGAAGAGGGGACCCCAGATTATCTACCCACGCAGGCCACCTGAATCGGTCTGATCTCTTTTCCCGAGAGCAGTGACTGCTGGTGGGTAAGGTAACTCACCCAACCTTAGAATCTCAAGGATGGAATGGACACGGATGGCCGTTGTTGCCTCATCTCCTTCTCAAATATGTGGATTTCCTGGGGAAGGACCCCAGCAAAGGCTGGAGGCTGCCCATGTACCTTGGTGTGTGCATGCTAAGTCGCTTCAGTTGTGTCTGACTCTCTGCAACCCTATGAACTACAGCCCGCCAGGCTCCTCTGTCTATGGGAATCTCCAGGCAAGAATACTGAAGTGGGTTGCTGTATCCTCTGCCAGGGGATCTTCCCAACCCAGAGACTGAACCTGTACTTACACATCTTACATATCCTGTACTTTTGTACCATGAAAGCTGCCTCTGACTGTTTCTTTACCAATCCACCCACTTAGGACCAGTTCTGCCTGCTGCAGGAGTGAGCAGTTTAATCTGAGTTTTGTTAGTTTCTTTGATGGTGGCTTTGTGCCAACAAAAGATGCCATCAAGGTACTTGAAGATTAATATTAAATATTAATATTAATATTTAATACTTGAAGATAATTACAAGATTAATGTTTAACTAGTTTAAGATTTTATTTCTTCCTTTTTTTTTTCTTTTTTAACTTTGCATCATGGGAATTTCTAAACATACATGAAAATAGATAGTAAACCGAACCTCACAGACTCATCAACTTAAGTGATGATCATTCACTGATATATGGCTGCTTTTGAACTATAGCAGCAGGGTTAAGAAGTTGCAACAGACAGTGTACATTATGTTCTCATTGCTTTGCGCTTCTGCCCAGACTATGAATCCCAAAGACATGGTAATAACTTGACAGCTTTCCAAATGCTACATATATCACCATACTGCGGCATCTTATTTTATTTTTTATTGTCAGTGCATGCCCATCATGTTAAGACAAGAAAAGTGGGCTTTGTGGGTTGTACTTGTAAGGCAGAGCGAAGTGTAGGTTTTGTCCATCTATTAGAGAGCAAAGCACTGTGTTTCTTATGCAAGGACACTACAACTGTACTGAAAGAATACACTAAACATCAACGGAACCAGACTAAGCATTCACCACAATATTCCCAACACACAGGAGAGCAGTGATCAGGAAAACTGGAAATTTGAAACAGTATCTCATCACTGCAGAATTCCTTCACAAAACAGAAAATGAGGCTTCTATCAAAATAAGATTCGAAGCGGCTCATGTGTTAGCCAAGTAAGGAAAGCCATTCACTTGAGGGTGAGCTAATTAAATCACGTTTGATTGCAGCAGCTGAGAAAGAGTGTCCGGGGAATATAAATTATTTTTAAGACTGTTAGTCTGCAAGGATAGTTGCTTGAAGAGTTACGGACACAAGGAATAGCATCTATAGTTAATTAAAAGCACACAAAGCATATGGATTTGGATGGTTTTCTTCCGCTCTTCGTGAGTTGGCAGGTGTTCTGATCCTGTTCAATGTTGTTTATTGAAGGAGCCAATGTTTAGTTTGAAGTAACTAAAGAATTAGCCTCTATGAATGACTGCATGAAATAATTATAGGTGAGGATATTTTCAAAAAGTTAAGAAAACAAGAACTCAGTACAACCTAAAGTGGAATCTTTTAAGTGTTAGAGCTGATGATGATGTGGATACATGTTGGGCACAAAAAGGCTTAGCTGAGCATACTTACAGAGCTCGTGGAAATGTGTTTTAAGGACTGTGGCTGGTTATTCATTAGAAAGTGCTTTGCAGAAGAGATGTGGATCTATCATGTGTTATTGAACCAATAACGTCAACAGTGAACCATGAAGTTCACTTGGACTAGCTTCCATGGACTTGATTGTCTTCATTTCTGTGAATTTTTGTCAGAAATAGAAGTTGGTTATCCTCACTTGTCATGCTACTCAGCAGTAAAATGGTTTAGCAGTGGTGAAATGTTCTTGTGGTTTATTTTAGCTTGGGGCCAAGATTAAAATTTTTCTGAACAAGAACAACCTCTGTTATCAAACATGGAGTGGCTTGGGAAGTTCATTTTTGCTGCACATTTAAAAATATTTCTAAATGAGTCAACCTAAAATCGCAAGGCAAGACAGCCCTTTCATACACTGGCTGCGATAGTCATTTCAACAACTGACATGATTTGCGTCACAAGTAGAATCAAGTTGCTTTATTTGCTCCTTGTGCTGCCAAAAGTTAAAACATGAAGTAAGACCTCCATTCCCCTACACATTTGCCAAAGAAATATTTTTCCAATTTCTGGAAATTTTTTTTTTTTTGGACGTCAAAGCAAGTGCAAAGGAAATTTCCATACTTCAAAATTCACTTAACTGTGCAATTAAGAGCTTCTAACTACTCTTCGACTGGGAGTGATTAATCTGATATATAATGAAATACTAAAAGGCAAATACTGTACCAGGAGAACAATTTAACAGGATTCTATAAAGGTCTTCCAAGCAGTGAGCGTGTTCAATTAAAATCATATGCTCAATGGTGGCTATGTCTACTTGGCAGCGCCTATCCGAATGAATGGATGCTTTCAAAGATGAAATATACAAAAACTTCATTACAGGTCAGCATTAACAGGTGAACCTCTGCAATAGTTTTGGTAGAAAATACTAACTTTGAACCCCAGCAAAGTAAATTGTTTTCTTCCCCCCAAAAGAATCAACCCCCTTTTTCTCACCAGAAGATCTGTAAAAACAACACCCAGTTATAATTATTTATACTTTTAATTTTGGCCAATAAAGAATTTGTGGAAATTTGTTTTCTTGTTATATTAATATCTATGTAATATCTTTGATCTTGCGTCTTGGCCTACAGAAACAAAAATATTTACCCTCTGACCCTTTATAGAAAAATGTTGCTGACTCATTAAGGTAACTGAAGCCCTGGGTTAGATTAAACATTCTTGTACTAAATTCTAAGTATAGCTGGAATTAAAATACGTTTCGTTCAATATGGAAATGATGTCACTGAAATCAAAATGGGGGCCACCCTACGCTTTAATTTGAAGGTCGTCTCCTCAGTTTGTCAAGTTTCTTCGTGACCACGGAGGTTTCTGACCAGACGAAAAGCAGGTGGAGACTTCTCTCATAGAGCTGGGTCCCTATCTCCAGATGGGGTCAGGGAACCTCACCTGATTTGTTTTAGTCCATCATTCCGGCCTGCCCAGACCATTTTCTAAAAAGCTAGTTATTACCTTTCATTTTGATTTCATTTTCATTGGACTGTGCCGGATCTTAGTTGCGGCATGCGGGATCTTTAGTTGTGGCACATGAACTCTTAATTGAGGCAGCATCTAGTTCATTGACCAGGGATGGAACCCGGGCCCTCTGCATTGGGAGTGCAGAGTCTTAGCCACTGGACCACCAGGGAAGTCCCAGGTGCTCACTTTAGATGTGGCTTCCAAGGCCTCAGCCCTACAGCCCCCAGCTCCTGCAAGGATCTCCTCTGGTAGGACGGGGCTTCTCACAGGCCTCTGCAGAGACTGGCCTCTTGCCTTTTTTATTACAGCAGATCCTTCCAACCTCTGCCTTCCTATCTCAGATCCATCTTTTGAGGCCTGGACTAAGTTCTTACTACACCAGGAAGCCTCTTGACTATATTTGGCTATGTTTATCATTGTTACTATTATGGTTGTTGTGGTTACTCTTATTAGTAGCAGCAGCCAATTTAAAAAAACACATTTATTTTTATTTAATTTGCTGCACCAGGTCTTAGTTGTTGCATGTGGGATCTGGTTTCCCTGATCAGGGATTGAACCTGTATTCCCTACTTTGGGAGCACAGAGTCTTAGCCACTGGACCACCACAGAAGTCGCAGCAGTGTAAAGAACCCGCCTGCCAGTGCAGGTGACATTAGAGATGCGGGTTCAATCCTTGGGTCGGGAAGACCCCCAGAAGAGGGCATGGCAACCCATTCCAGTATTCTTGCCTGGAGAATCCCATGGTCAGGGGAGCCTGGTAGGCTACAGTCCATGGGGTTGCAAAGAGTCGGACACGACTAAGCAACTTAAACACGCGTGCACACACACACATATGCGCATGCAACTTCAGAGTCATAAAGAATGTCTAAGAGCATACAGTGCACCTCCGTGCTCCACAAAGGAGGAACTCAGGCCTGAAGCAGAGAGACAGCCTGCTCTTTGCAACAATAAGTGACAAANTGATGCTTTTGAACTGTGGTGTTGGAGAAGACTCTTGAGAGTCCCTTGGACTGCAAGGAGATCCAACCAGTCCATCCTAAAGGAGATCAGTCCTGGTTGTTCATTGGAAAGACTGATATTGAAGCTGAATATCAATCCTTTGACCACCTGATGCGAAGAGCTGACTCATTTGAAAATACCCTGATGCTGGGAAAGATTGAGGGCAGGAGGAAAAGGGGACGACAAATGAGGAGATGGTTGGATGGCATTACCGACTCGATGGACATGGGTTTGAGTGGACTCCTGGAGTTGGTGATGGACAGGGAGGCCTGGTGTGCTGCAGTTCATGGGGTCGCAAAGAATTGGACATGACTGAGTGACTGAACTGAACTGAACTGAATGCAGGATCACAAGCCCTAAAGGCCATTCTAGGTTTCCAGAGTGAAACCTTCTGAATGAGTTCATCCATAGTCCCTCCAGGAAGCTCACCTTGTCCAGATGAAGAGCCAGTTTGTCCCTGGCATCCTTGGTCTCCTTCAGCCCATTCTTGAAGGCGGTGTCCACCACATCACACTGCCTGCGCAGGTCATTGGCGGTCTGGGACAGGATTCGGTCCACCAGGGCCTTCAGCGTCAGGGAGTTGTTCCTCTGCTTGTCAGCCTTTTCCACGTTGGTGTTGGAGAAGTCTAGCCAGTCTTCCAGACTCACAGAGCTGAAACGGGACCCATGCACTCATTCATAGCATATCTGGACTTGGCGTGGGGGTGTGGGGAGGAGGACAAGGGACTGGAAACCAGTGGGAAGTTAGGCGTCTCTCCACCAATGGAAGCCCCGAACATTTCCCATCTCTAGACAGAGTGAATACTGGTCTGTCAGTGGCAACAGCTGCCATCTAGGGAAATCTACTTACTCTCTGCCAGGCTGGCACTTTACAGACACTCTCTCATTTAATCCTCATGCTGGCCTAGTGCGGTGGTTTTCATGCCCCCATTTGAAAGATGTGGAAAACAGAGGCTCATAAAGATGGAGTAACCTGGTCAACATCACACAGGTAGGGACAATAAAGTATCAAAATAAATTATAGTAATCACAAATTATAATGTGAGTATGTGTTCAGTTGCTAAATTGTGTCTAACTCTTTGTGACCCTGTGGACTGTAGCCTGCCAGGCTCCTCAATCCATGTGGTTTTTCCCAGGCAGGAATACTGGAGTGGCTTGCCATTTCCTTCTCCAGGGGACCTTCCCAGACCAGGGATCGAACGCACTATCCTGCATTGGTAGGCAGATTCTTTACCACTGAGCTACCTGGGAAGCCCACAGATTATAATACACTGAAAAAAATAGGATAATCATGAGTGTATACTGAAATGCCATAAATAAAAGAATTGCTAGTTTGACAAGGAACTGCTTATATAGCACTGAGGAGTCTCAAAATAATGTTGATTGGGAGATTCAACATTATGGAATGTTGTATATTTTGTCATATACTATATATATACTACATATATGACAAAATATACAACATTCAAAAATATAAGTATATGATGCTATTTAATAAATGCAGAAGCAGGCAGAACAAACCTATTAGAAGCCGGGAATGTGGTTCTTTTTGGGGGAGGGAAGAGGGGGCATTGATCAAGAGGGGGCGGGGTGGAGGTTTTGATGTTGGTGGTAACGTTTTATTTCTTGGCCTGGTTGGTGGTTACGTGGAGACTGTTTGCCACCTGGGATGGTCCCTGATGACCCCCTATGTCTCCTGGTGTTCACACCTTTGCACAGAGCCTTCCCCTTGAGTTGTGTGATGAACTCATTGACTCATTTCTCACGAATAGACGTGATGAGAGGTCATGTCTGAGATGAGGTTGAAAGAAGGGAGACTATGGCTTCTCTCTTGGATGCCTTCTCTCTTTTGCTTCCTCTTAGATCAGCTGCCATGTCAAGCCTTCAGATGAGACCGCAGCCCCAGTTGACAGGTTGACTACAACCTGAAGAGAGGTAAGCCAGAGGTGCCCAGCTGAGTGATGCCTGGGCTCCTGACCCACAGAAGCTGGGAGATAACATGCTTGTTGTTTTACAGCTGCTAAGTTTGGGGGTAACTTGGTAACAGCAAAAGATAACTAAAATNAAGTTTGGGGGTAACTTGGTAACAGCAAAAGATAACTAAAATGATGATAATTCATTAAACCATTGATTATTATTTGTGCAATTTTCTTTCTTTTCTGGGTTTTTTTTTTTTTTTTTGCTTGTGGGATCTTAGTTCCCAAAAGAGAGGTTGAAGCTGGGCCTGGGTAGTGAAAGCACTGTCCCATTCACTGGACCAGGAAATTCGTATGCAGTTTTCTGTAAGTATGATTTACTTTAAAAAAGGAATTCCTGTGCAGTTTTCTGTAGGTATGTTTTACTTTAAAAAGAATGCTTTAAAAATTAGAATGAGTTAGGTCTGTGATGTAATATTACTTGAAAAATGTAAATCAGATGTTATAGAAAAGGTAAAGAGTATAATCTCATTTTTGTGACAAAACGATTTGTGTACGTGAGTGTATATGTATGTTTTGTATGAACATACAGGAAACACTGGCTATCTCAGGGAAACTATTAACTTGCTCTTTATACGTTTTCAAATTCTTCTACTTGTTAAAAATGCAAATAGGTAAATGAATAAATTTGAGAGGTTTTAAGATTTTATTTCAGGGACTTCCCTGGTAGTCCAGTGATTAAGACTCCATGTTTCCACTGCAGGGGGCACAAGTTCCAGCCCTGGTCGGGGAACTAAAATCCTGCACCCCACAAAGTACAGCCAAAAAAATTTTTTTTAACATCAGACTTTCTTAAAGTGGGGCCTAGCCTGGAGGACTGAGGCACCCCTGGGCCCTGTAGGGTAGTCACTGCTCAGTGCCTACCTTTGCCTGAAACCTGCCTCTTCCCAGCTCCCAGCCTGAGGTCAGGATGATGTCCTAGGTCCTGCTGGCCTCTCCAAGAAGCACTGGGACATCACACAGTGGGGAGAAGGACAGTGTGGCCAGGCCAGCAGGGACTCACTCACTTTGGTTCAACCCTCACGACGTTCTCAGAATACTTGATGTTTGGTGAGTTGTTGTTGAGTGAGAAGCAGATATCATCAATGGTTATGGCTGTAAACTTGTCCCTCAAATCCTTTTCAAGATTGTACTTGGCAGAGCGGTTCAGCCTGAAGGGAGAAGGTAAATTGGGTTTCTTCCTCTGGAGTGCCCAAGTGGCACCTATGTCAGGTTCTTGGGAGACCCTGGAAAATGAAGCTGGTCTAGTGCAACACGGTAACACTTCCTCCCACCCTCTCATCCACTCAACACACACACACACACACACACATGCGAGCGCGCCATTCATGCCTGGTGACCAATTAACGTATCCAGGCCTGGACTTTGAAGTCCTCCTTTCAACTGTGACCTTTTCTGACGTCACTGTGGCATCCTGTTGTGAGAGGTGAGCCTGGGCAGGAAATGGCTCCAGGGTCCTCCAGTTTCTAATCAGGGATGAAATTCTGCAGCATCCCAGCCCATCACCAGAAAGCAACTGTTAGGCATGAGAGGTGGTCCAGGTCTCATTCTGAGTGTTCCCTGGCCACCTTGGGGGCATGGAGAGTGCTTGTAGGATATTAAACTCTATTCTTCCTGTTCCAGGGAGCATGGTCTTGCTGGACACAGCTTTTCCTAGATACACCGAGTGGAGATGCAGGGGCAGTACCTGATTTGCTCGGATGTCTCCTCCAGGGTGCGGGTCAGGAGGGTCATTACTCCCCGGATGATCTCATCTTCCTTGATCAGCTCCTGTTCCACCTCATCATGGACCAGGTCAATGCCAACCCGCTTCTCCCTGGCCGGGAGAAAAGTGGACGGTCATCCCATGCGCGGAGGGAGACAACTCAAAACTTGCTGACTTTTAAAACTATCAAGACAACTGCACCCAATCCATCTGGATGATGTGACAGGGGATGTACATTGAAAGTGAAAGTGTTAGTCACTTAGACGTGTATAACTGTTTGTGACCCCATAGACTGTAGCCCACCAGACTCCTCTGTTCATGGGATTTCCCAGGTAAGCATACTGGAACGGATAGCCATTCCCTTCTCCAGGGGAATCTTCCCAACTCAGGGATTGAACCTGGTTTCCTGCATTGCAGGCAGATTCTTTACCATCTGAGCCACTGGGATATACATTAGTTGGTGTCTATTTGACTTCAAAATATCCAAAACACAAAGAAGAAAAATGAATCTGTGATTGGTCACTTGGTCTGAAAAATGCCAGCTGGACATTTTTGCCTCAATTTTGCCATCAATTCAGAAGGCTTTTCCTGCTTACCTATTTATTGGAAAGACTGTCTTTTGACTTAGAATTTTAAAGACATATGTTTTCTTCCTTGAGTCTTGTTTTTTAAAAAGGGTTGAATTGAAAAAGATGTTTTATAATAATAGTAATAATAATAATGTCAAAATCAATAATACTCCACCACTGAGCACTTTCCATGAGACATGCACTGTACTGAGCTTTTCATGTGAAAATTCATTCTCATATAACCTTTCAATTACAGGTGAGGAAACTGAGTTTCAGAGAGGTTACAGATCCTGTGTCACAGAATTGGGCATTACACATGCTTTTAACCACTTCCTCCCAAAATTGATCGGTCACTATCTGATTGTTCTTTTCCACCTCCCTGATAGTGCTTATGAGGAAGGCTCCATCACTCACCAGCTGTGTGGGCTCAGGCACATTGTATAATTTATCTGTTTCTTGGTTTCTTCTTCTGTGAAATGGGTATAACTATCAGTACTTCCTAGGGTTGTAGCAAGGAGCCAAAAAGAGATATGAAAGCAGGCAGCATGGGACCTGGCACAGGGTAGCATGTACTCAACCGCCTTAGCAACATCTATATCCTAATCACCCTTAGGTGTGGACTTGAGCCAACTGGATGTTGGCTTCTTTGATCACCTGCTACTTTCCTTTGCTTTACCAGCTCTCTAAATCTGGCCGAGTTGCTGCCTGGTTGCTGCAGAGGGTCCTGGTGAAGCTCACTGAGGCAACAGGGCTTTCTGAGGAGGAGGAACAGAGTGGACAGTGCCACAGTGCAAGCAGCTCAACACCCCAAGTGCATCCCACTGTTGGGGATGAGACGCAGAACTGGATGGAGAGCTCACTGGGGGCCCAACCATGATGAAACTTGTTTTTGAAGCTAAGAAGTTTGAACTTGAACTTGAAGGTGTTAGGGCATAGGGTGGTAATGAAGGGATTTTAAAGCCAGGGAGTGACCTGGAAAGATCTGCATTGCGGTAAGTTCACATAATAGCCAGTGTAGACGATGCATTCAATTGGAGGGGGCTATGCTGGCAGCAACAAGACTTATTAGGGTGCTCCAGAAGATTTATGGGGATCAGGTCTGTGAATCGGAATCACCCCAAAGCAGAGAGGAGCATCCTGCTCATAGTACTTACATGAGGGAAATTATAGTTAAAAGGTACATTAGCACAGTGTTCTCTGGATTATGAAGTGCTTCTATGTGCTCTGTGTATGGGAGCAGGCAGGCTTGTCCTCCAGCAATTGTATCTGCTTTGTCTGTCCAAAATAAAAACCACCATTTCCCAGTTTTTATTGGTGTGGCCATGTGACTAAGCTCTGGTCAATGAGATACAAGTAGAAATGGTGAATGCGAAACCCCAATTATTCCTACTTGTTGGAATGTAGATATAATGGCTGGCACTCTAGTTGCCAACTTGAATCACGAGGTAACCTTGGGAGTGAAAACCAAACACAGAGAGCAACAAGATAGTGGAGCAACAAGATTAAAAAGGCCTGGAAGCCTGACACTGTGGCATACTATGCCAACCCTGAACTAGCTCCAGATTCCTTAAATGTGAGAGGAAATAGTTCAATGTTATTTTGCCCCTTTCTGATTATCCACAGCCAAACCTAGTCCTAACTTATATTGAAATTAGTTAAGAGCAGAGTTTAGACATGAACCAAGTCCAGGGCTCCTTCTGCTGCCCAGCACCATGAGTATGCTGAGATAATTTCAGGCTCTAAAAGAAGACATGCTTATTTGTTTCATTCTAACCCACCACCAAGCACAGTCGGTTTTTACTACTCAGCATCTCATTTCCCAAAAGATTCATTAGAGGAAGCATCCCTCCTACCTGTATTCCAAGCATTTCTCTGTGATACGCAAGGGCTCTTTAAAGCTCTCAAGGGCTTTCTCCAATCTGGTCTGATAGAGGAGTAGGTCTTCAGTTGCATACACCAGCTGCTCAAGTTTGTCATCTAACTCCTTCTTCCAGAACCTGACTTCCTCGAGTCTCTGTTCTGAAGCACATAGAGAAGTCACTCCAGGATGAATCTATTCCCAGTGCAGTCAACTCTTAGATCAGAAACTTGAAAACTATTGTGAAACTACTGAGAAACTTTCTTTCCTTCTCAGAATGGTGCTACTTGGGGTATCTATACATCTTTGTGTTTATTAGAATGGAAGGAAGGAAGAAAGGGAGGGAAGGAGGAAGGAAGGAAAAAGAACATATTTCTTCTTATATTCAACATCAAAGTAATCCAAAGATCATTCTACACTCATTGACTCCAATTCCTCAAGGTGCCCTGTTTGAAATATTTTTTAATTTTGTCAAAAACACAAAAGTATATTGTTTGAAAAGTCCCTGGGTGCCACTTTGAAATTGTGTTCGTAGGAATGGGACTGTCAAGAGGGCATTACTCTTTCTTTAAGATTTAGCTTAGGACTTCCGAGCTGGTCCAGCGGTAAAGAATCTGCCTGCCAATGCAGGGGACACGAGTTTGATCTCTGGTCTGGGAAGATTCCATATGCTTTGGAGCAACTAAGCCGATGCGCCACAACTACGGAGCCTGCACTCTAGAGCCCGGGCTCCACAACAAGAGAGCCATCACAATGAGAAGTCTGCACATCACAACAAAGAGCTGTCCCCACTCACTGCAGCTAGAGAAAGATGGAGTACAGCAATGAAGACTCAGAACAGCCAAAAATAAAATTAATAAATATTAAAGAAAAGACTCAGCACAAATATTCCTCTTTAGGATGTCTTTTCCAATTCTCCAGTGTCTACTCCACCTTCACTTCTGTGCCCCTTCCCACAGCACCTATCTAGTTATATTCTGACTAACAATTTTTGTATCTTTCTCCTCCTCATTCTGAGAGCCCCTTAAAAACAGAGGGTCTGATATCCCTGTGATATCCACAGTGCTTAGTCCATGGATGCTGTTAGATGCTCAACAGATATATATCATATCAATAAAAGAATGACTGATGGATGACTGCAAATCAGACTGGGTTACCATGTCTCTTGTTATTGTTCAGTCAATCAGCAGGGTCTGACTCTTTGCAACACCATGGACTGCAGCACGCCAGGCTTCCCTGTCCTTCACCATCTCCTGGAGCTTGCTCAAACTCATGTCCATTGAGTTGTTGATGCCATCCAACCATCTCATCCTCTGTCATACCCTTCTCCTCCTGCCTTCAATCTTTCCCAGCGTCAGGGTCTTTTCTAATGAGTCAGCTCTTCTCATCAGCTGGCGAAAATACTAGAGCTTCAGCTTCAGCATTGGTCCTCCTTCCAGTGAATATTCATGGTTGATTTCTTTAGGGATTGACTGGTTTGATTTCCTTGCAGTCCAAGGGACTCTCAAGAAGTTGCACAGTCCAAGGCACAGTCCAAAGACTCTCTCTTTCTTCTCCAACACCACAGTTCAAAAGCATCAAAAGCATGTCTCTTAGGGCAATGAACTTAAAAGACAGAACCTGGAGAATACATGTTTCTCTCTAATATTTCAAGATAATACACTGCCACTCCTGAATAAGAAATGCCTGACAATACAGTATCATTCAAACATGTTAACAAACAGAGCAAGTGTGTTATCTTACCTAGTTTCTTATTCACATCGCTTTGAGATTTTCTTGTGGTCTTTTCAATTTCGTCCACAAGTCTCTGGCTTTCTGCTACCAGGCGTTCAGACCGGGACCTTTGGGCTTCGGCTCTGTGGTACTGGTTTTTGTTAGCAATTTGCCACTCTGCGCGCAAGAACTTGGGTGGCTGTTGTAGTAGTTTGGCCATTTGAAGTTTCCAAAGTCCTGCTCAAAAGCAGATTTTTTTTTTTTTTTAGATTCACTGAAAGCAAGTGGTCTTGTTTTTAAAGTCAGTTTTTATTAAAGTGTGACATTCGTACTAAAGAGTGCACACACCATAATCTGTACACAAAATTAAAAACTCAGTATATTCAGCACCCAAATCAAGAAATAAACATTACCAGCACCTCATGCCTCATTCTGGCCACTATTCTTTGCCCCAGCCCCACACAGTAACCACTATTCCATTTTTTTTCACTATTCCAATTTTTAACACTATACATTAGTTTTGATATTTTTGAACTTAATATAGAATCCCTAAGTACTCTTTCTTCCTATACACTCTTTTATCTGACTTCTTAACAAACAGCATTATGTTTGTAAGATTTATTGGGACTGTTCATATAGTTGTAGTTTGTTAATTCTCATTGCTGTGTAGTATACCTTTATATCACACTGTCTCTCTCTTTTTTTTTACTGTTTATGGATATTTGAGTTTTCAGTTTGGGGTTATTATGAGAATGCTGTGAATACTCGCATTTAGAGAGAATGTGTCTTTTGGTGAACACATGCATGCATTTTTAGAACTCGTTTGAATTGCTAGGTGCAATTGCTAGGGGCAGTGTTCTGTTTTAGTAGATATCGCCTAACAGATGAATCCAGGTGTGTTTTCTAAAAACAAAAAGAGCAAATGTGACATCTGTAAACTGAAAACCAGGTACTGAGCCTATTCAGCAGATAACAGAACCAAAAGTTTCCCAGGACAAAGAACAGGAGAGAACGAGAAGAGGAACTCATGAAGAGGTAGCAGGCAGAGGCCAGCAGCAACAGAAAGACGAGCATGTCTCCTCCTCTCTGCACACATCAGGGCTTCCCTGCTGGCTCAGATGATAAAGAACCCACCTGCAATGCAGGAGCCCTCAGTTCGATTCCTGGGTTGGGAAGATCCCCTGGAGAAGGGAATGGCAACCCACTCCAGTATTCTTGCCTGGAGAATCCCATGGANAACTACTTCACAACTTGGGGATGGGAGCCTCCTTACTCCAGCGGGAGCTCTGGGCCTTTGCAGAAATGGGACGTAAACAGCGCAGGCTCTATGGCAACCGGCAACGCGTTACCAGGGCAAAGGGGGGGGTGGGGTCTGCTGCGAAGCTGCGTTTTCTCCGGAAGGCTTTGCGCAGGCGCGAGTGTTGTCTTTTCGCCTGCGCAAGGGACTTGGCGAAGTGGCCTGGGAGGGTTGAGGTCGGATATGTATCTCAATCTACCGCGAAGATGCGGGACACCAAGCTGGGATTTAGGAGGCCTGCGACTGGTCCTGCTGCTGGCTGGGCCGCCTCGGGCCGCACAGCGCTCACTGGGTCTCGGACTCCCCAGATGTACCGCGAAATTGGGCTGGACGATGCCTCCAGGCCTTCGCAGCCGCAGGCCGGCCTGGGGCCACTTAAACCGCAAACCGGAGGCTGCATGGAGTTAGAGGGAAGAGATTCCTGGGGTTGCCGCGGCCGCGCGGGTGGGGGGTGGGGGTTAGGTAGGAGGAGGGATGAGGAGCACCCCGGGCCAGTCCCTCGGCCTCCAGGCGGTGGCGGTGGCCAGACCGAGGGCTGGGAGTCAGGAGTGGTTTCTCTATCTAGAAAATGAGTGCCCCAAACTAGAGTACAGCGTTCGGAATATGTTCTTTATGATTGTAGTGCTGGTAAAGCACCCCAAGGGTTTGGGGTGGGGGGTGGTTAAAAAAAAAAACCCTGAGACCCTCAGGGAAGAACTGATCCTAGTAGTTGAGGCCAGCCAGCTGGACTCTTGCTCCGCTGGTTCTGCCCTCTGAAAGGCCTAAATTCGGATGCTGTTGCCTCTTGATGTATTAACAAAAATAGAGGAAGAAGAAAAAAAGAGCTCTCCAACTATTTATTCTGGAGTTTAAGGAAAATATTTTCAAAAGAAAAATCTTGTTTTGCACCCACACAGGCCAGCAAAGGAATGAGTCCAATAGAGAAAGTATGGAACAGCTTATTATCAATACTTACTCAGTGTGTATCTGGCATCAGTATCTGAGTAGGGAGGAGAATATATGGGTAGGGAAGAGAATATAAAGCAGATATGCAGCTCAAGGCTTAGAATTTGCTAAATTAAGACGTGTACAACCAAAGCTTATATTCAAAGTAGGAATACTCAGGCAAAGCACACTGAAGTTTTAAGTGATTTTGAGATTTTCGTTAGTTGGAATAAAACCATGTTTCCCAAATACAATGAGTTTCCTCTGGAGTTGGCATAGCTCTGTTTCTGCAACCAGCCTCTTGTGTGGGAGGCCTGAATGGGCAGCTCTGGGTGCAGGTATGGGGAGGAGGCCTTTGGCAAACCACCCCAGGTCACTGTGTCCACTGGAAGATGGAAAATACAGGGGAAAATTAAGTCTGAGAGGATAGACTCAGGAGGTTTAATATTTGTCAATTGGAACATCCAGAAGGGGAAAAATGGAGAACAGATGAAGGAAAGAGAGAGAACATGTCCTTGAGCTAAAGATGCGAGTCTTTATTTCTCTTTATTAATTAAAATTTTACACAATTTTGAAAGGTTGCTTTCTATTTATGTTTTATTATTGCAAAATACTGGCTCTATTCCCCATGTTGTATTAATACAGTACATCCTTGAGCCTCTCTTACACCCAATAGTTTTTGCCCCCGACACCTATATTATTTCTCCAACTGGTAACCACAAATTAGGTCTCTATGAGTCTGCTTTGTTGTTGTTATACTCACTAGTTTGTTGTATTTTTAAAAAATTCCACATGTAAGTTATATATGGAATTTAAGACTCAAGTCTTTAGATTGAAAGACCCACCTGAAATAATTATCTCTTATACACATACACAGTCACACATACATACACATTATACATGCACCTATTTTGTATCTATATGCATCCTATTCTAGTGAAATTTATTTATTTCTTTTTTTTTTTAAACCTTCCTGTGTGTTTTTAGTTCCTGACCAGGAATTGGATCCATGCCCCTTGTAATGGAAATGCAGAGTCTTAACCACTGGACCACCCAGGAAATGTCTTTATTCAAAGAGTAAAGAAAGAAAGAAATGAATATGTATACAGCTTTTTGTCTGTTACACAGATTACTAGAAATGATGCTAGAATAATGTCTTCAAAATTCTAGAAGAAATGATTTCAAATCTCAAATTCTATAACCAGTCAAAACACTTCACAGAGCAAAATAAAGATATTTTTGGACAGCTCTGAAACTTGCACATATACTCTTTTGGAAAAAAGATTAATAGAATAAAAGTGAAACATCAAGAAAGAGGAAGATATTAATCATAACAAATAGAGGAACCATAAAGAAAAGAAAACTCAGTATGATAGCTGTGTAACTGGAAAGCTATCAGTTCAAATAATAACTGAAAGAAGGGTTCTTGAAGAATTTAAGAAGAATTACACAAATTATATGGTTCATAACCCAGAAGTATAACTTCATGCTCTTGGTGAGCTGAAATTATATGTCAAACAAGAAAGACAAACAGAAAGTGGGGACAGCATTAAACTGTCATTTTGAAACCAAAAGAATTCTGAAGGAAGCTTATGGAGGCAGCATGGTGTAGTGGAAAACACACTTAGCCATGAGCCTGAAGTCTGGCTTCCAGCCTGGTTCCTACCTACCACTTAGCTGCCTCAGTGTTCTCATCCACATTAATAATGCCTGTCCTGGAAAACAGTATGGAGGTTTCTCAAAAAGCAGAACTACCACGAGATCCAGCAATCCCATTTCTGCGCATATATCAGAAAAAAAAAAAAAAACCCTAAAACCCTAATTCGAGAAGATACACACACCCCAATGTCCACAGAAGCATTATTTAAAATAGCCAAGATATGAAAGCAACCTAAGTCTCTATCAACAGATGAATGGATTTTCTTCTATCAACAGAAGAAAATGTGACATATATATGGATATATATATATATACACACACATATATATAACAGATTACTACTCGTCATAAAAAAGAATAAAATTTTGCCATCTGCAGCAACATGCATGGATGTGGAGGGCATTATGCTAAGTGAAATAACTCACACAGAGAAAGACAAATTTTATATAATATCACTCATATATGGAATCTAAAAAACCACAAAAACCTAAATATAACAAAACAGAAACAGACACAGATATAGAGACTAAGCTAGTGGCTACCAGTGTAGAGAAGGAAGGTGGGAGGGGCAATATGGGGGTAGGGGATTAGGAGATAATTAGGGGTAGGGATATAAAATAAGCTACAAGGATATATTGTACAGCATGGGAAATATAGCCAATATTTTATAATAAGCTATAACAGACTATACCCTTTAAAAATCATGAATTGCTGTAATAGATTGTAACATATACTATTGTACAGCAACTGTATTTCAATTAAAAAATAGTTATTTTTGTCCTGCTTGGCTTATGACAGCCATAGGAGAGTTTTATGGATGCAAAAATGTTATTAACTTCTTGTTTAATTTTCCTACGGTGCTACCATGACCCTTGAACTCTGTTTTGGTAGCATTGCCAGTGGTATTCAGATCCGTGTTGGTTTCTCTACCCAGCTGCACCTGGATGAGGAAAAAAATCTCTTCCTCCATACAAGGGTGTTGTTAAGATGTGGATTGTTTTCTATCTTAGGCATCACTGTGGAACAGTGAGTTCATTGAGAAGAAGTCAATTTTTGTTCTCAACCTTCTTGAATTGTCTCAATATCATAGGCCATTATATTGAAGCTGATTATTCAAGACCCCAGCGTCCTGGGTCTGTATCAGGAACTTAACTCCTGTGCTGATCTCCTATTCAAAGATCAGCAGTCAAGAAACGTGATAATTTAAGAGCTTTTTATTGGCATTTTAAACTTTGGCTAACTACCAGTTGACTTCTGTGTGTTTCTAAGAGGTCCTTCAGAGATAAAGAGCATGTCAAGCATATGTTTCTCTAGCGAAATAGCCTATTTCCACTGCCAGTAGGGCTGAGAGATGTTTT